AATTTTTATATTTATTGAAAATTATTTAAACTCTTTTTCCAATTATTATGAATGTAATTCTCGTAAATTTTTTTTCTGATTACTTAAAAAAACTCAAAAGTATAATAAATAAATCACAAATTTGTGAAGTTTTTTGTTAGCAGTCGGATTCTGGATTAGTTAAACACTTTAAAATTTTGGTGTATCAAAGTAATTGCGTTGAATTTTTCTATTTCAAAATCATGATAGCGTTAAGATATGTGAAGATAATTGCCCTGATTGCTTGTTACGTAAAATAAACATTTGAATCGATCTTTTATCATAGAAAAAATCTACAACAACGACAAGTGGACGTAATTCAAGTAATAAATTCTATATATAGAATGAATCTTAACTTCTGAAAAAAAAAATTATAAATTTTATAGAATCTTCTACCTGTGAGATAAATTTATTAGAATGTGATAAAAATTTGCCAAAACACTAAATTCAATGTCCGGTCGGTTACCTTTTTCAAAAAGATATCAAATATAAGTAATTTAGACATAAAATTAAAATATTTTAATTAATATTTAAAATTAAATATGTTTTTGACATGATATCGAATTAATGATTATTTTTATGAAATTATATTTTTCAAATAATAAATATATGTTTTGGGACTCGGGATTTATATTTATTTATTAAATTTATATTTTTTTATAATTTTTTTATTGAACAGTTAACATCAAACTACATTAAATAATATCTTTCATATCCGATTTATTTAAAGTCGTCGTGAAATGCAGATTTGTTTTAAAATTTCAACAGATTTTAATTGAGCATGTTGGGCAAAAAATTCTAAGCCAATCAAATTAGTGAAAGTAAATTTAAATAATTAATTAATTATATAAATGATAATAATTTAATATAATTTAATTTAATTAATTTATATTTATAAATAAAAAATAAAATTCATTAATTATAAAAAATTATAAATATATATTCATATCAAACATTTACAATTAATACTCATAAATTTTTTTAATTTTATAAAATATTTTCAATCAAAATAAACATACACCTTTATACACTCATATATCATATTTATATAAATTTTTTTAATCTCTTCTAGTTCACTTATATATACTATATTTATATAGATCATTTCAATATCTTTTAATTAATTTATAAATATTTAAATATATACATTCATAAAATATAAATTTTTAATAATATTTTATAACTTTTTTATATTTTTTTTATAACTAATATTATAGAAATTTTATTTATTTATAAGGATATAAAATTTTTTTAAAATCAAATTTATTTTTTAAAAATTTTTAAATTTTTTTATTTATCAAATAATATTTAATTAATTTAAAATAAATTACTATTTTCGTAAAGACATATACTGTTATTTGAAACAGCTGTCTTGCAGAAACGGAAGAAGAGGGAGGTTCGCATCTCGAGGCAGAGGTCAGAGATGGTGATCGGAGAGAGGTAAAACCGTAAAATGCCTCCGACACAGTAGTGGCATTGATGGCGCCGACATTAAATTTAAAGTGTTGGGACCTTGCTGCCTCCTCAGGCATTAAAATTTCAAGTAAGAAAGTACAGCCCTGGAACCTTCCATAAAGTTGTCCAAGATATTATTTCATAAAAAAATTATTTTATAATACCGTCATTAATATTTCAAAATTTGTTGAATTACTTTTATTTTCATATATTTTAAGATACTTTTTAAAATTAATTTAATGTATTTAAAATTTTATTTTAAAATTAAATTTTATAAAAATCAAATTTATTTTTTACAAAAAAATTACAAATACTAAAATTAAATTCTAAAAATATTAAATTTTATTATAATAAAACAATCAAATTAAAATTTTAATTTAAAAAATATTTATCAGTAAAAAGTAAAATTTGTATTTATCAATTAAATGAACTTTTACATGAATATAAATTAATCATACAAAAATTAATTAAGCTACACAATTTTTAAAAAATTGTAGTAAGATGCATATTTTAAAAATATCTATTAATCATATCCAAAGAAAACAAATTTTAACTCACACAAATTTTAATTTAAAAATAAATTTCTATTTGCATAAGTATTGATCGGGAGGATTTTTTTTTAATATATATGGGCAGATTTTTCTTGTTAATGAAAAAATATATTAGTATGGCTCTTGAATTTGATTCACATTATGATAACAATATAAGCACAATGAAATTGTCATAAAATATTTTAAATTCTAATTGTAATCCTCTTTATTACTTAATAAATAAAATCAATCTATAGTGTTTGAATCTATTATCTATTCAAAAATTTTTGATAAATACTATTCACCTCTTTTTTTTTTTTTTTTCCAAATGATCGTACTTCTTCGTCATAAATTAATTGATTAGTCATACATTAATAAATCTCAATTTAAAAATTATCTAATAATTATATATCGTATTGGTTTAAAAAATTCACAAATCACATCAAATAATAAAAATATTTAAAATAAAATTGCTTACAAACTCAAAAAACAGTTATTAAAGAGAAAATTTTGCCATAAATACAAAAGTCTAGTGAACTTTAAAGTTTTATTTAGTAAGAAAGATAAAAAAAAATAAAAAAATTATTAATTCAATAATTAAATTATAAATATAAAAGTGAATATAAAATTAACTATTTAATTAACAAATTTTTTATCTTTATATCTTTGTATTATAAATTAAAGTTAAATCAATGGTATATTATAATCAAATAATTTTTTAATGATTCAAAGAATTAATACACTATAATTACTGTCATGAAAACTTTTGTTTAATGATTCATAGAATTGTATATCTTATATAAATATATAAAAAGTAAAGCATTTGATAAAAAAGAAAATAGTCCAATATCGATAGCTTTTTTTTTTTTTTATATGTGGATGGATATAAAAAATTATTATGTATTCTCTAATAAATTTATTTTATTTATTTAAAATATTTTTGTTTTTTTTATAGTAACATTTTTATTACTTAAAAATAATTAGTTAAACTAAATTAAGTACATTTATTATATTTTAAATATCCAATATTTTTACCTTATATAAATAAGTTATGATTAATTTGATTAATAATACAAATAAAAAAAACTAAATAAAAAACTAATTACTCATGAATATATTTTCACATCTTCTGATTATTCATGAAAAATTAAATGAAATTTCGTGCACTAAATAAAGAAAGAGAAATGAGCTTTATAATTAAATTATGAATTTTTTTTTCTTTTTTTTAGAAAATATATTAGGCAAAATTTCAAAATTTATAATTGTGAAGGAAAAATCGCATTAATTCCATATTATTTATTATTTATTATATTATATGGTTAAGAATAGTAACTTTTTAATGCATCGATCACATCTCTTGATAGTAACATAAATGCAAATTTGACTATCTTTCAATTTTGTTTTACTATAATTTTGTCTCTATTATCTTATAAGAAATTTATTTTGTATTCTTGTTTGTTTGGTTTTTTTTTTTTTTTTTAATTTATTGAGGTTTTACTTGTATTTTTTATTTGTGCAATTGCTAGGTTTTATTTCAGAATATCATTTTTATCAACTATATATTTTAGTTTTTTTTTTTTTTCTAATTTATAATTTAAAGTTGAATCTTTGGTACTTTCTATATATAAGTTGAATGTGATGATACTAGAAAATTATTTTTTTTTGCAAGGTATTAATTAGTAGAGAGTTAATGATTTTGTTTTATTTTGAGAGGTTACTAGATAGATTATATTGATTTTGTTTTGTACTATTATAGCTTTATAGCTTTTGATTGAGAATTTTTTTTTTATTTTGTACTTTTATAGTTTTATTTTTAATAATAAAATCAAGATTATATATTAAATTGTAAATAAAATGATGATACAAAATTATGAGGGTGACTTAAGTTTTTTATCAACCATTATCAATATATTTTTAATCATGAAAATAAATTTTTATTTGTTCTCTAAAATTATAATTATAAATTTTGAAATAATATTATATTATAAAAATTATTATAAATACACTTGCTTGAGCATAGCACAAATATAAAATTTTAAAAATTTTAAATAATTAATATTTGAAAAATTTTTAAATAAAAAATTTTTCTTAACCTTAATTTTTTCAAATTACATAATATTTTTAAATGTTTAATAAAAATTAAAACTTGATTTTTCAAAGTTGTAAAAAAAGGAGTGGGTATGTTAACTATAACAATGTATTTATCATGTTAATATAAAACCTTTCAATATTTTACTTATACAACTCTTTTAACATTAATAATATTATATATAATAAAAATTATAATTATTTGCTTACGAACTTAAAAAGTAGTTTATAAATAATTAGTATGCTTTACCGCTAGCTAGCTAAGTTAGATGATTCAATGGTTATAGTTAAGTGGCAGTGTTTGGGCTTTATTTGAATTAGACCCAAACCCAACGTTATTGCTAAGATCGTTGCATAGCATTGAGTTTGGGCCTCTCTTAATTTGAGCCTTTTTTAAAAATATATCGTGACCCAAGCAAGAGGATTGCCAACAAATTAATTATTGGGCGCTTTGTGGTTATATTTAAAAAAAAAAAAAATCTAATTTGAGGATAAAAAACTTATAAGTATTAAAATTTAAAATTATTAAATATTATATTTTATGTGATTGTATGAATTAATTGAGCTAAATGTTAGATTTGAAATTTCATGGTTATCAATTACATTTTAAATCAACCTATGGTGTGTTCTTTGAAAGAAAACTATAATTTTTAATCATTTAAATTATTCAAAAATTATCACTAAATTTTATTAAGATATAATGATATATTCATAAAAATTAATAAATAAATTAATCATTAGATATCAATTATGTAGCTCAAAAACTCAAATTATTAATTAATTTTCTTATTATTAAAATTGAACTACTATTAAAGAAATTAATTTTTAAAATTTGTGTTTAGGTTAGAAAAATCCATCGAAACTCCATTTTTCTAAGCAAATATTTGGGCCACGAGTTGGGTGAATTTCCGACCAGAGTAGTCTGCAGAAGAGCAAGGCCCAATCAAAGTGAGAGTCACAATTTAAAACAATCACCAACCCCAACACTTCCTCCCATCAAATTTCCCAACTACCCAAACATCATCAACCATGTCTACCACCATCACCACCGCTACCGCCACCGTCAAACCATCAACTCCAGCAACACCACCGCTCCCACAGCTAATCCCGTCCCTCCCAGACGACGTGGCTTTAAACATCATAGCTCGAATCCCACGATGCCATCACCCAACGCTTTCATTAGTCTCAAAATCAATGAAATCTCTCATCTCTTCCCCTCTGCTTTACTCCGCTCGATCCCTCCTCAAATCTTCGGAGCATTTCCTCTACATCACTCTCCGCCTCCACACCAGCCATTTTCTACGCTTCTACTCACTCTACCAAAATCCCTCGAACCCAATAAATCCCAAATATTCCCTCATCCCTCTCCCTCTTATTCCGTCCCCTTCCCTTGTTGGCTCCGCGTTCGCCGCCCTCGACCACAAAATCTACGTCCTCGGCGGCTCCATAAAAGACATCCCTTCTTCACAAGTGTGGTCGCTTGACTGCCGGACCCACACCTGGGAACTAGCTCCGAACATGCATGTTTCCCGTGAGTTTGCCGCCGCCGGAGTCGTTGACGACAAAATTTTTGTCATCGGTGGCTGCGTGGTTGATAATTGGGCTCGGTCAACGAACTGGGCTGAAGCTTATGATGCCAAAACGGGGAAATGGAACTCCGTTCCAAGTCCGATCCAAATCCGGGATAAATGGATGCATGCCAGCGCGGTTATTGATGGGAAAGTTTACGCGATGGCAGATAGAAATGGGGTTTGCTATGAAGTCGGAAGTGGGAGTTGGGGAACTGTGGAGAGTGATTTGGATAATGGGTGGAGAGGGAGAGCGTGCGTGATCGATGGGGTTTTGTTTTGTTATGATTATTTGGGGAATATAAGAGGGTATGATGTGAAAGAAGGCATGTGGAAGGAGTTAAAAGGGTTGAAGAAAGGATTGCCGAGGTTTTTATGCGGTGCTACAATGGCGAATTTGGGAGGGAAGTTGATGGTGGTTTGGGAATCAAAAAATGGGAATGGGAAAGAAATGGAGATCCGATGCGCGGAGATTGAGGTGAGGAAGGATGAAAGAGGGGAATTGTGGGGGAACATTGAGTGGTCTGATGTTGTTCTTTTGGTTCCTAGAGAAGCTTCCATTATGCATTGTTTGGCAGTTGCGTTGTGAGATTGGATGGTAAAGTTTGTGTTTCGAATTCTTTGAATTTGATATTCTCTGTTGTTAACATTCATAGTGCATCATGAAATTTCATCTAACATTTTAATACTATATGAAAATAATTTTCCAATTATAAGCCAGGGGATTCAATATCAGTCTATCACCATTTCTTTTGTTTCCTGTAAAATTGGCACGCGGTATGTGATAAAGCTTCATGAGTTAGGATTCTGCACATGGCTGCAGGCTCACGTGTACCTTCTTCCCCCAATTTCTCTGTGAAGACAAAATCCACTGTTTTCTGTCTAGCATCATAGCATGTAGATCAAATATGATAACAGTTTGCTATCCTTTGTGATTAAATGTCCAGGCTATTCTTTTGTATGTAGACTTGGCACATCTTGATTTTCACAACTAATTGCCATCTTTGTATGAAAAATAAAGATGTCAAGTTAGCTCTCAAGCCTCATCAGACTCCTATGTTTGACACAAAATGAGATGTCAAGAACCTGGCAATCTCAAGTACTTAAAAAAAGAACCTAGTTCATGAATTCTTGAGGGTTATGCTATCATTATCATTGTACCGTATTCATTTTCTGAACTTGCATGGTTTCAACTTTTTCTGATACCATGATGAATTGCACAATTTATCATTAGTGGAGTTGGACTAAGAAGGCAGCATATTTTCTCTTGTACACTAGTCATTTTCGGCTGATTCATTGTGATATTCTGTTGGCAAGGGTTAAGGGCCTTAAGGCTATTTTACCATTGCTGGCATAACTATATTAGAAAGAAGATTCCAGTCCTGTCACTTGATTTTTAGATCTCTTTTGTGATGTATTCTTTAATTTTTGTGGATAATTGTTATGAAATCAAGCTCTGATAAACCAGGAAAAAACCTGTCATTTTCTACCACTAAAGCATGAAACAGTTAAGTAGACCTGTTTATACCATCTTTATTCCTATTTTGGTCAAAGTTTTACTTGTAGATTATCTAGCTCATCTTCTAGATGCAGCATTCAACTTTTCAAAATTTAAAGCTATGTACTTATTACCTTGTTGATGTTTCTTATGGTTGCAATTTTTTGTGTTACCTTTTTGATGCTTTACATTGATGCAACATGGATGCTGTTCGCCTTAGCAGGAGGAATGCTTCGTGCCAGAAGCAGCAAGATTCTGATTGAGCCCCATGACATTAAGCTGTTAACTCCATGGAATGCCATTGCAGCAATCTCATGGACATGGGAAATTATTTCTCATTTCATCTCAGGTTACTCTGCAGAAAGCTATTTACAGTTTGGAAATAACAGTTATTATCCCAGTCTCTGTCTGAGCCATTCAAAATAAAGGAGTTAAGTATTCCTCCTGTGTGTCTGTTGCACATGTAACTAGTGATTTCCTTGTTATCATTGTTCCATGCCAACTTATATGCCTTGCATTGCATGTGTTAAAATCTAAGAAGTTGTAAACGTTTGTCTATAAATGCATTGATGAAGGTTGGGACTTATTTTAAACATATTTTTTGGGCTGATAATATCATTTTTCATTTCCTTTGGGGCTGATGATCTTAATTGACAATGTGATGGTCAATCTCTTGCACGTCTCCTATTTGGATTATTATTTCATATGCCCTAAGAAAAATTTTTAAATATCATAAATAAGATTAAAATACTATTATATTTATTATTATTTTTAAATATACATTTATATAATGTATGATAATCTTTTAACTTCAATAGTATAGATTTTTTTTCCCTGAAAATATAGCATTTATTCGATTATGAAAATTTACTTTCTGCAAGAATTACATCATATATGATGGAGGGACATTCATTAACCCATCGCACTGGTTCCATTGGTTTGGTAAGTTTATTTCTGGCTAACCTATGTGCAGCTTCATTAGCCTCTCTCCTCGTACAAGCAGCAGAAAAAAGACGAAAACCTTGTCCCATCCTTTTTGCATCCTGGATTAGTTCTCCCACCATTGATAAAAGCATTCTTCCTCAGCATGTATCTGGTTTACCACTTCCAGTGCATCTTCTTCCACTATGACAGCTTGGAATCCCAGTTCTTTTGTAAATTCAATAGCTGTGATTGCTGCTATTGTTTCTGCAATAGAGGGATCTCCGACATTCTTCACTGTGTTCATGCATGCCCCTAAAACCTTACCTGATCCATCCCTTACCACAGCCCCTATGCCACACATACCTTCCATCACCATTAATGCTCCATCAAAATTTGCCTTGACATATTCGTTTTCTGGTGTAGCCCATCTGATGCTACTCTGGTCTACATTTGCAGCTATACGTGTCTGGGCTTCTCTGTTCTCTAGATACCGCACAATAAAAGCCAGCGTTTCTTCTGCTTTCTTAACTTCGTTAGTTTTGATCTCGATATTCCTGTTATGTCAGATCATCCAACTTCTTATTAGCCCAATTTCCAAGCTGTTATTGTCCACCTTCTCACACGTGGTTTAACCACCCTGTTTCGTCTTCAAGCTCTGCATAGGTCCATGCTTCTCCACAGCACCCCATTCTCCATATTTCTTTTGCTGATCTACACCTTTTAATAACATGCATGGCTGTTTCCTCCTCTTGCCCACATCTTTGGCACATCTCCTGAACCTCTATTCCCCTCTTTTTTTAAGTTGCAAAGCACTGGTAAGATTCCATGGTTCAAACGCCACCCAAACACCTTAACTTTTGCAGGTATATTCAGTGTCCATTGTTTTTTTTTTTTCCTAAAAACATTCGCCGGCCCAGCAGTTTCACTGTCTTCATGATTTCATTTCGTATGCACTTAAAATATATTCACCTATTCTCGCCGGTTCCTATATAAGTTGATCCTCCCTTGCTGTATGACCCAGCGATATACAGCATATCAACTTTCCTTCCTCATCCGAAAAGATTTGTCTAATCTCATCCTCCTTCCATTTCCTTCCATCGGGGTTAATCAAGTCCGAGACCCTTTTGTACCGTGCACCTATTGTCATATACCTGCATGGTTCAAGTTTTTGGAATGGTTTGGTCCACATACCATTCCAGATTCTTATCTTATTACCGTTCCCAACTCGCCATCGTAATTCCATCTCTGGTACTCTCCTAGCTGCGCATACACTGCGTCAGGTGAATGAAAGATTTGCACCCAATTCGGCTTCCATAAAGCTGGACTCAGGGAAGACCAATAACCCTGGCCCTCTTGATATTGTTCCAACCTTGTTTGCCTAGTAATGCCACATTGAAGCTTGCTGCATCTCTTAAGCCCATCCCACCTATTGCCTTACTTCGACACATTCTCTCCCATCTCAGCCTGTGAACATTTCTTCTTTTAATCTTCGAGCTCCACCAAAATCTACTTAGAATGCTATTGATCTCCTCACATAGTCCTTTTGGCAGAAGGAAACAACTCATAGCATACATAGGCACTACTTGAAGGACCTCTTTCATGTATACCTCTTTCCCGCCCTTAGACAACATCCTGCCACTCCAGTGTTGTAAGCTATCCCTTGGCCTATTCGTTATTCCTTTGAAAACTTTCTTCTCCTTGCCAATCATAGAACCCCTAAGTATTTCTCTGGATCTGCTGTCACTTGGATTCCAAAGAAGTGCTTCACATTTTCCCTAAACTCTTCCGATGTATTTTTACTAAAGAATAAAGATGACTTGTCATAGTTAATTTATTGTTCCAAACTTTCTTCATCTTTCTTTAGCACGTGCCTCAACCTCATGCACTTCATTGGGTTTGCCTTGATAAAAAGTAAGTTATCATTTGCAAAAAAACAGGTGAGTAATTCGGGGTTCATTTTGATTAGCCTTCACATCAGTTATCCATCCTTCAGTTTGATATTGTTTCAGCATGGAAGGAAACCTTCTGTACAAAAAAGAAACAAATAGGGCGATAGAGGATCCCCCTGGCGAAGCCTCTTACCTGGATTGAAACTGTCAGTAACATTATCGCTTAAGAACAATGGAATATGAAACTGAAGCTATACATCTCTTATCCGATATATCCATTTTTCAGCAAATCCCGTCTTCTTTATAATAGTTTCTAGAAACACTCATTCCATCTTATCATAGGGTTTGCTCATATCTTTAAGGTGATGTATCCATCTTTTCTCGTTCTTTTGTTTTTTAAGGAATTTATAAGCTCGTACGCTATCAATACATTATCAGTAATCAAAAGCACTCTGAGACTGGCTTTTACAACCAGATAATATTTTTTTAAGCCTATTGGCCAATGTTTTTGAAATAATCTTATAAATTACATTGCATAGACTTATAAGTCGAAAACTGGCTATTGTTCTAGGGTTCTTTATTTTAGGAATCAAAATTGTGTTGGCATTGTTTACTTCGTGGATAGGTCCCTCCCCATTCAGACAGAACAAGCAAAAATCAATTACATCTCTACCTATAATATGCCAGCAAAAAACAACGCAAACATACCATTCGGTCCTGGAACTTTTGTTAGATACATTTGTCTGATTGCCTTGTGAACATCCTCATGTTGAAACTCTGTAAGGAGGGAATTATTCATTACGTCCGTAGCTCGAGCTTGTATCCATTGGAGGATCTCAACAAACATATTCAGTCTTTGGGCTGTTAAAAGATTCTTGAAGTAGCCCAGAGCTATATTTTGTACCTCCACTTCATCCTCACACTATCTTTCAGATTCATCCTCTGGCACCTTAATAAAATTGTTCCTTCTTCTAGTGGTTGCTTGAGCATGGCAAAAAGCTGTGTTTTTGTCCCTTCTCTTAGTCAATTTATCCTCGATCTCTGCTGCCAGAAAAATTCTTCCTTCTCCATCAAAGCATTAATCTCGGCCCCGCAGCTCCTCCTTTTTTGTATGTTTGCATAAATCAATCAAGTTAAACTTTGAGTTTAATTTCCTAGACATTGTGTTTCGGAGCATTAATTATTTATGAATTATTGTCACTTTGTGTGCTGTTTTTCCATCAGAGTGGAAATTAAGCAGGGAACTCAACATGCCGACGCAGAGGCACATTTGTAACACTGGCATTTTTATGACCAAGAATGCTACTCGCAACTTGCTAGTGGTAGGTACTGAAAACTTCAACTAAACTGATTTCCAAAACTAAAAATATGAGTAGCAATCAGTACAAAAAGCGTAAATTTATCCAGAAACCAAGAAATTAACCACGATCCATGTAAATCGACCGTATCAACCTTTTTATTAATTTAAATTAAATTTAACCCTAAAATCTCAATCTTCAGAAAAGCTTATTCAAAGCTAGATAGATTGTTTTTAAACACATGGTGGGGATGGCAAACATGTTTAATGACCGAGGAAAGAAATATCTCAGCTTTCCTGAACTAAATTCACCCATACATGGAAAGCATGTCTCTTAATTTTAATGCTTCTGTCTCCAAGCAATCAAAACTCGTGGAATTAGGTATCCTCCAACTCCAATTTCCAAGCTGCACACAGTAGTTACCATAGAAAAAGTCACAATGAGATTTGTGAAAATCCGTCTTTGTTTGGATATGCTAAACTTAAAATGCACAAATTACTTTCTTTTGTAATCTGAACCCTTTCTCTTCATAATAAACATAAGAACTTAATTGCATTAAAAAAAAAAAAAGAAACAGATAAAGAACTTAAAAAACAATTGCAGCTCTAAGAATCATCATGGTTTTTGTCAGAGTCAACACAAACAATTACATGCAAAAATGCGATGCTGGGCAAAGGAAGAAGAACAAACTTTGGATCTATGTTTCTCTACACACGCTGCACATGCATTTCATACATAAGCTTTCTACTTGTGTTTTGTCCTCTTTTAGGAGGGAGCAAGTACTAACATTCTTGTGAGTTGATAACCTCGATGTGAGCAAGCAAAAACTCTCACAAAATTGAATTTTTCTGTTTGAAGCCTATCATGAGTGAAGATTAGGGTGCTTTATTAGTCTGTAATGGACAATGATATAGTGAACAATTTGAGAACCTTTAGATGATCAACATATCCTAACCCTGTATATGAAAAAACCCTAAGAAGTCAACCCTAAGTTAGAAACATGTCTACCCTTTTGTTAGAATGTAAATCAAGTTAGGCCACATGAAGAAAATTTGGTATGATTTCTTTTATGTATTAGGATTTTATTTTATTTTTTTATCATTTTAATAAAAATGACAAATATGATACATTTTCATGACATTTCCTCCTTCAAGTGAATCATCATTATATGTTTTTATCTTCTCATATCTTTTTTTGTACCCATTATCAGATTTCAAACAATGAATGTTCAGATAATAATGATTATAATATAAGATTCAATTTTGAAAACTCATTTATATTGATAAACTTGATATGTGAAGATTATTTGAACAAGTTATGTAAAGGAAGTTAAAAAACAAGTTATAAAGATTATTTGACCATTCATAGAAAAGCAAAATAAAGAGGTCTCATAAGCATGTGGTCCTTTATAGTGATCTATCCACAGGCAGGTCGATGTTTAATAAATGATCTTCAAGAAAGTATTCATATTTGAAATGAGAAAT